TAATACATGGGCTAGCACCTAAGTTGGGTCCCAGTGAGTAAGTACTGCTGATGAGTCCCAGGGGGGGATAAGAGAGCTGTGTAGTAATTCCTGGTTTTCAATGGTCTTCTAACTTATGTCAATCTGTGATTCAAACCGAACTCAGGAATATTCTTGCAACTTCCTTGTATATATACTATATTTTTATTACATTGGGTTCCAAGAGGAGCATAGGGCTTCATCAACGCATCTCAACTCTGTTATATTTTCTACTGTCCTCTTCACCTGGTCCACTGTTTTCCATAATCCTCATCTCCTCCTCCCCGTCCTCGTAACACGATCTCCTCCTTATCACCCTAGTACGACACCCTCATCGCTTCCCATAGGAATTTCAATCGAGCTTTGGCCTGCATTCAGCGCGATGTCACTGGGAAGCCTCTTTAACGTGTGCCTAATTCAATACTATTTTTTCCTACATATCTGTTGAGCGACCGTCTCTTGGTTGGTTTGTTGTCAACCAGAGTTTCTCGTTGCTAATTCTTTCTGGCCGGCCGACCATTTGATCTTTATTGTGGAGCTAGCGAATAAGGTGGCTATTGATAAAGTCTGTAACATTTTGGAAATCCTTTAAGTGACATGCTTCTTGGAACCTGGTTTAATTTACTAGCTTACTACTTTTCTAATCGATTCCAAGCCCAGGTAATGAAGGAGGTGGAGAGTGAGGGGCCAGCGACTCTATCCCCACAAAACCATTCAAACTGCTACAGAAACTTCAGTGCACAATAAAATAATGAAGTAGATATATACATGTATATTTTTACACTGACAAGCGTAATAACATCTGTAGTTTTCGTCTTTCAACTCCCCTTATATTCACTTACGTAATATCTGTGGATGTCATCTTACTGTTTCATTAAATTATGTAGAAATTGTGTATATTGTGACATTGTAACTGTTTTAATATTTTGTATCGTTGAGAAGAATCAAAACATTAAACTGATATCATGTTACGCTGATTAGGAACTTGTTATTTTTGTGTTATTTAATTCCTTCCATGGAAAGAATTGCATAATGTTTTGTTGTACTTAGTTAGTGAAAACAACAAATAATCTATAAGTGCAACAGTAAGTGCACTTGTTAAATCATTTGGGTGCATAACTTTTATAAACCAATTTGAGTTTTAATTATTTTGATATGATTGCATAAGAAATCATGGATTTTATGTTTAGATTCTTTTTAAAAAACCGGTATTGTGATCATAATTGTAAAATATAAAAAATAACACCTAAGTAAAACTCATTTTAAGCTATTGTTTTCTTATGTATATAAAAGCCTCACAACCTGATAAAGGCGATAAGGGATAACGTCGTACATCAGTAAGGAATAAATTTTTGTTATTGATACTGCAAACACGCTTAGAATAAGTATAAGTAAGCATCAATACTAAGGTTCAGCAAATAGTCGATTCCATATTAGATAATTTCATGTGATATAGTATTAATAACTGTAAGAATTCTTGACTATGGATTATCATTCGTCTACATCTCATCAGTGTAATTATAAAACTCCTGATCTTGCTTTGTATAGTGGGATTTCACTCCATCAGGTTTTAAACGCAGTTTTCCATTTATTCGGAGCTGGAATTCAATTATTTCTATTACAAGTGTTGCTGAGTAGTATGCAGACACCGGAGTTCGAATCCATGATTTTCTGATTATAAAGTGAACTCGTAGACCACTCAGCCACTCGGCGCGTACACTGAAGAGTCCCAAACTCGGACGAGACAGCTGTCTGGTACTCCCAGGTTTCCCGATGATTCTTTAACCGATGTCAGTTTATGATGAAATCCTGAAACCAATCAAATCCTTGCAAACCAGCACTTAAAATCTTATGTTTCAATAATCTAAGTGATCCCAGATGAACTGGTTTCACCTATATGTATTTCATATTATAGTTATCAAATGACACTGGGTACAATATATTATTTTGTCTAATCAAGTTGAGTGGATTCCCGAGTGAACTGTAGTCTGCAGTACTATCTTAATTCGAAACAGGGTTTCAGATGTTTCTTCAATAAATAGGAGTATTGTATTATCACTATTGTTTCCGTAAGTTCCGAGGGCTTCAACAGAACATGTCCATTTCACTCTGTTCTTTCTAGTCGTCTTTAGCTGATTTTTCAATTACCCATAAGCTTTCCTCTACTCTTTATACGATCTCATTCATGTCATCGTCGGACCCAAGTCAAACACGCCATTTCGCATTTAGGTCCTACTGGAGGGCTTAATGGTTACTTAATGGTCTCCTTAGTGTGTTTCCGATTCATCTCTATCCTATCCGCAATATTTGTTGGGATAAGGGTTCTTGGTTGGCTGGCTAGACTACGGAGTTCCATGTTGCTTATGAAAATTCTATTTAAAGAATGAGGTTGCCAGCTTTATGGCCGACCTCCTGCCTTTACTGGCCTTACTACTGGCTAGGCGAGGTTAAGGATTGCGTCGTCTGGGAATCAAACCCGGACAAATTACATGATTGGCAAGTGAGTATTCCAGCACTGAACCACCAATGACAAATCCGCTTAGGAACGTGATGTATATACATATATCTACTAAAAACATCTCTCTTATATAATTAGCTAATTTACTATTTTCAACTTGCATGTCATTTATAAACACTTAATGTAGTTTCACTTTTCATTTGCTTATTATAGTGTCCTTAGATATTTTGACAGTCACAGTCAATAAGGTATGAGTGGTTATCTTCACCTACCAATCCCACCTTGAGACTTTGGCTGAAATTCTGATCTCTAAGGCATTGGAGAAGCATCAGTAGATACATTCCCTGAGGTTACCGGTGACCAAAAGAGGTTCATATGCTATTTAATCCTTTCTAGAGTTTTATAGAACTCATATACAGCATGTCCATCAGTCTGATTGTAAGCGCCAGACATTCTCACTTGCCATTTTTACTTTTGTGAGTAACAAACCCCTGTCATGAAAGCAGTAAACACGACTTATCTGGTGGAGGCCATGAACACGTGGTCAGGTGGCAGCATTTGGAGAAGAAGACCAAAGTCTAGTGACCCTCAGATGAACCAGATCGTCTGTAAGGCCAAGTTTCTCTTCTGAAGTAAGATATTCTACAACAATTAATCTAATCCATAGGCTATTTTCTACTTCTCTAAACTACAGTAATGCTTACTGCTATTAACATTTATTCCTCGAATTTCGCATGGAAAATGGAGGCAAATCAATTCACTTATGAATTGGAAAGTCAGGAACTGAAGGAGCTTCCAATGTTAGATTGTAGCGTGAAAAGGAGGGGAGATAGAAATTTAAACACTAGTGTTTACAGGAAGCCCACACATTCAAACCGATATTTGGATTTCCGAACATCCCATCCTATGTCAGTAGAAGTAGGATTGGTGAAATGTTTAAGTAATAGGGCACAAAAGCCAAGTAGTAACAAGGAAAATGTGGAACAGGAAGTGAGGTATATAAGAGAAGCTGTGAAACTTAATAACTACCCTGATAAATTAATCAGGAAGTATGTAGGGAAATGTAAAAATGAAATTAAAAATAATAGTAGTGATAGTAATGATAATAATAATACTAACACTAATGACGACATGCATGTCAAACATGCGCAGGATAATGACAACATCAACAATAGGGAGTATAAATCATCAGTAGTACTTCCATACAAAGAAGGAAGCTTGAAAACCAACTTACAGAGAGTCCTTACCAATGCAGGAGTGAAAGTGGCTGGCATTCAAACCCACAAACTCAATTAGAAACAAACTTTGTCGGTTGAAGTATGCTGTCGGCACAGCCAATTAAACGAAACAGTTTAGTTTCTGTAACACCATGTTACAATGATTGTCTGGTCAAAGTAATAGTAGGTCAAAGAAGTAGAAGGGAGTCAGTCAGACTATCGAAGCACAAAAACCTAGCCAAATCTAGATTAGTTGACCAAAGATAAGAAATCTGAAGAAGCACCACACCACATGAAGTTACACACAACACAGCCATACAATAGGACAGGATAAGATGACATTTTAAAATCTAATGTAATGACAGGGTGGAGAGAGAGACTGATGACAGCGAAAGCTTTGTTTATCGAATCAAATGCAAACACTTGTCAACACCTGTGTCAGATATCTGGAAAATTCTACTACCCCAACGACGACAAATAGGAGAGAATCAAGGAAAACTATGAAACTCAAGTTTCGAAATAGTGTGATTAAATAATTGATGAAATGATTATGAACAATGATAAATTGTGTTCGAAACTTTGTCATCCAGTTAACAATAATACTATTTCTCCACTGTGTGATATATCTAATAAACAAACTAATATGGAATTACATACTACCACAGTGCCAAAGTTTTATACATATATTAAAACTGAACCTCAACTTCACACTTCCATTCTACTCAATTCACTGTTCTTCTTGTCGGCTCCACATGATCTCCTGGCATCCTAGAGCACCCACATCCTACATGGATTCCACTCCAGTGTGTTGTGACTCAAGTTTTGATTTTTATCAATTCAGAATAAATAAGTTTGAGATTATTTAGTCTACAACTAATCATCACTTACTCTACACAACAATGAAGTGAGTTTCAGTCACAGCCTTAACATACTTTGTATACGATAGTATTTTTGAAAGAAAAATAAATGAATAGTTTCAGTGCATTCACTTCTCATGATTTAGCTTTGAATATGTTAATCCGGCCTATTAGTTGAAAATAAATAAATAAATAAATCAGCACCAGTAAACTACGAATATTCCGTTTTACTGAAATCTAATTTTTTTTGAAAAAGAAAACGAAAATAATAAAGTTGATATTGTGATAATAATTGAAAGTGCATCAGTTGATTGCACTGACTGTTCGTTCGTTCTTGTGTTTTTGTTTGTTGTTGTTTTTTTTGTGAAAAGTACCATATAAATAATAACAATTATGTAGAGTTTGGCATTATAATCTCCAGAGAACGACAACATTTTTTTTCACTACAAAATGTTAAGATTTACATATTTCCTCGTGTGCTACACTCTTCTAATCAACAGTTGTCATGGTTACGGAAGTCCATTTTATGGTAAGTTGACGCTTTCATTTCTCATCTTCTCTTCTCTTATCTTTTATTTTAATGCAAACAACTTTATTGTTATGAGTTAGTTAGTTATTTAGGATATCTGTACTTGAATGAGATTTTATTAATTTGTTTGAATGGTTTTAATTAAAAATTCCCTGTGAATAAAAAGGGAATGACATGAAGAATTATTTCTTATAGATGTATGTTAATCTTATATATGTACATTAATCTGAACAAAGAATATTCCTTGCAAAGAAATCTCCCCTTTGGGATCTTACAATTGTGAAATATAATATTTGTTATAGATACAATTCTGGCCAGTTATGCGGAGGATGCACTTTCACTTAGAATAGCAGATTAGTTATCTGGGGTAGGTGGTGACAAAAGATGCAAGTATTTGTGTGTGACAAATGTTTATGGCGGAATTCATCCACAAAATATGGTGTGAGATGAAGGCCGATGATGGTGATTAGTGGTCATAACAGATTGATACAACGTGGGGATGGAAGATTGACAAGTCAGTTGAAGGTTGTGAAAGTTGTCGGATGAGTGTCTAGTACAAGGTAGTATGCAACAAAGAGGAGATAGGAAGATAGCAAGCAGTGTATAGTTCATCATGATATAACCAATATAAGAAATGAGACAGGCGTGTTCATATATTGAGAAAAGAGAGTGAGAGAGAGATAATATCATGGATAATAAGTGATAATAGTATGAATGGGAATTCTAGATTGGAGGGTATATGCACTGAAGTAAATAATAACAGTAATGACAACAACGATAAATTCTATTAAGTAAAGCAAAAGAAATAAAAGGAAATAAGAGGAAGAGACACAGTTGGAGAGAGGATGAAAATTACAATCCGAGATTGGCCATGGTGGGAATATCATCTGAACGTGTTCTTTCCTTTTAGTCGGTCTTATAGCGAAGGCTTCAGCTATTATGTGGAAGACGTAGGCAAACTCTGAGTGATAATAACTTCAAGATATGGTACATAACCCTGAAGGCTATTTTAGCGTCGATGTGATATCCACCAAATCGACCAAATGTGATCGAACTGAAGATTTTATGCGTTTGATTTCCCTTTTGACTGAACAAAGCTTGTAAGTTTTCTTGTATATGTAGACAAATCCGCTTAATGATACACTCTACATTACTTCAACCATGGGAGTATTTGACAAGGTATATGCATGTGGAGAAGCTACAATTAAGTAAGATGTCTTTCAGTCTCTGGGTGAATATTGGACTGCTATTAAAGGACAGGAACAGATGTGTATAAAGTAAAAACTCTGAGAAGAAATTTCTTAAATTTTGATCACAACCTGAAATCAGTCAGAAAACCATTGTAAAAGCAGCTATCCAACACTTCTGTGTTTTCCAATGAAACAGAAATGGAGCAAATTAATGAAGTGTCCCATCTGAATGTTTTCAAATGTTGACATTAACCTTGGCAACTTAGATTTATAATATTTCAAAAAAGGCATTCTACTCTACTAATAAGCATTGGTTAAAAATAATATGCTGCAGAACTATCTTCTCAGAATCACACATATAACTACTCTGTTTAGTTACTGAAATGTAACAGGTACATTTATCTATCGCGTTTATAACAAGTTGAGTGGTAATTGTTGACAGGACGTAAGTTAATTGTCAAATAATCTTCATGTGAATGTGCCCCCCTAATACTGCCTTTCGATTCATTATTAAGAAGTAATTTTAATATGAGAGTTTAGCAAACATAAACTTTGATTCAACACTTCCTTGGGTTCCGAGTGGAACATCATAGGACTTCAACAGCACTCTCCACTTTTTTCTAATTGGTGCTATCCTCTTCAGCTGGGTCCACGATTGCCCATAGTCTCTCACCTCCTCCTCCTCCTCCTCCTCCTCTTCGCACGATCTCTTCCATGTCAGCCTCGCACTGACGACCCATTCGTCGCTTCCCATTGGGATTTAACATTAATTCAGTTTATCTGATATAATACACAGTAATACTGTACTAATAATTGGAGTTTCGACCACAACTAATAATAATATCAGTATATAGAATTGCGTCTTATTCCCTCTTGTTTCGTTATATAATTGTTTTGTAATTTTCATGACACGTTCTAGGTGTTAATTTCTCGAACAAAGAATTAGTGATTAACCTCCCTCATTTACAGATTTACCATAATGAACTTAACATCAGAAAAAATTTAAAAAATGTATAACTCAGCTTTTCTGATCTCACTCATTTTTCAAATAAATGTTTCATTAGGCTTGTTACAGGATAAGAGAAAGTCTTATTTTTATTTATCCTACAGAATCTGGTTACCGTCCAGGTCCTGGTTACGGTCCAGGTTCAGGCGGTAAACCAAAATATCGATTTGATATAGCTATCGCCAGTTTTGTGAAAGAACCAACTGTTGGCTCAGTATGGTTTACACCACGAGGAGATTTCATGTACCTTAATGGAAGTGTTGCTGGACTGCCTGCTGGAAAATTATTAGGTGTACATGTACACCAGTATGGAGGTCTTGGAAATAATTGTAATGATGCTGGTCCACATTTCAATCCATTCAAACAGTAAGTATTGAGTCACCTTTTCAGTTGTTTTTTTCTTTAATTGTGGAACATACATTTGACTGAATACAACAGTTCAGTCAAATTAATTAGTAATTCTATTTCTTATTTGTTGTTTGCCTTGTACCACGCAAAGATTAAATTGGCAATGATCTATTTCTGGTTAGCTGGGAAAGTAATTTTCCGATCGCTTATTATAAAGTTTATAGACTTTGACTATTATTGTTATTATTAATCTTTTCCCTTTCGAGTGGAAAATAGGGCTTCATACTTGATCTTTGAATCGTCAATGACAATAGTATTCTTTTTCCTGGAGTAGGATTGCTAGCCTCACGCACAATCTTCCGTCTTTAACGGGCTTACTACGGGCCAGGCGATATTAAGAAGTACGTCAGCCGGCGATCGAACCTCATATCATCTGCATGGTTGCTGAGAGTTCTACCATTGAAACATAAATACACACTGCATTGGGTTTATTCATGATATTAAGAACTTTGTCAGTGATGAATAATCAGTCGCTTCAGTTTAAAACGAATAAAGCAAGATATTATGACTATGGGAAAAGATCTGTTATGTCTATCAGAATATTGGAATAAATTTTACTTACTATTGATTGCTTATGCTTTTAAATGCATGAACGTACAGTCTACAGCTTCTTTAGATCTACGTCATATCTTATCTTCAAGAGACAATTATCTTTTGCACACATTTCAGGCCACAGTCGCTAACTCGTCGACTGAGTTGACGTTAACTTCCTTATTTGAATGTGATAATCATACGGTAGATGTTCTTTAAATTTAATTGGAAAAGTTCGAGAATATTCCACTGGATTTTTTTATTTTGAAAGGCTGGTAGTATGAGATGTATTGTTAGTTATACTTTGATTGGACACTAGTAACTAGTGTATTGTGTCTAGTTCTCTGTTTGGTGCAGACTGAATTCTATCATTCAAGTTTGCAATGTGGCCACTATTCTAGATGCCTCACCATCACGGTGCACTTTGAATTCTTAATGATAGATGGTCGGAGGCAAACGGCAGGAAGTCTTGGACCTAGGTTGCATCAGCAGTGAGTGACGCGGGTTCGAATCTCAGAAGGGACATGAGGTCCCTCAAGGCTGCGGATACGCCTTTCTGACTGGTGAGTGTCAACTAGCAAGAAACCTGGTTAGAAGGCTTCCTGTGGCCGATTGCCCCATCATTGTTAGTTATTCCAAGACACAGGATTATGAGTGAATAAGTATTCGTGTAACTTGACAGCATGTGTCATACCCTTAGTCATTTTAACAGAAGTTTTCTGCCGTCTTTGAAATATCACCAGGAATGATGAATTGTCTTCAAAAACATTTTGGGAAGCTATATTGAAACTGATGCCGTGATTAAAAATCAGACGCAGTTGTGTGAGGGATTCATTAGAAAGCAGTACAGTGTATATATTTGAAAATCTTCTGCTGCTTTACTTACTGCTGCCGATGTCTCTCAGGGTGCTTTCCTTTCTCTGATTTCTTTGTTCTTACATGACTTGTCCAATTCTGATGAAGCCAATTTTGTTAAGGATACCGATGATCTGACTGTTTCCATGCTGATTACTTATCAATCAGATTGTTCAGAAGTGAACAGCTTTTCATCAAAAATTAACCAGTGGACCTTTTCAAATGCTCTTAAGTCGAATTCCTTCAAATATCAGATTGTTTACTTCACTTTTTGACACAAGTGTCATTTAAATGAGCTGATTCGCCATCATGATACATGTATCATAGATAGCCCTGAAGTTGGAACTAAGCAGAATATTAGATATCTGGGCTTATGTCTTTCCTCTGATATTTCCTGGTTCTCCCATATCATGTTGATTTCCAGGAAGATGTTTCCTCTAACATTCTATGTAAGGAAATTAAGATAATCTAGTGCCACTCAGTCTCTGCTTTTACAGTTCTTTAACTCTTTTTATCCTACATATCCTTCTCTATTGTTCCCCTTTAATATTTTCTGCGATGGACACTAAAAGCCAACAGCGACAGCAAAAACCACAAACAACAGTCAACATTTATGGGAGAAATCTGAAAGAAGCAACCTTCTTTACCTGCCTACCTACCTGGGAAGCATCGTTTCAACTACAGGCGGACGGAACTGATGAGGAAATCAAAACAGCGAGGATCGGGAAAGCAAGTCAAGCTTTCATTACTCTCACTAAGTCTGTATGGATATCAAAAGCACTCAGCATGAAAATGAAAATAACATCCGGATTTTCAACTCCAATGTGAAGTCAGTGCTACTTACTATATGGATCAGAGACTTGGTGCTGCGTCACGAAAGGCCCTTCGAACAAACTACAGAAATTCATCAACAGCTGTCTTCGCTCAATACGCCGCTCAAGATCAGATGGCCGGTCAGAAAAGATCAGCAACAGGGGGGATCTGTGGCAATGATCGAACCAACCCAGAAGGAACCGATTGTGCAAGAAATATGCAGAAATAAATGGAGGTGGATCAGCTGGCCATACTCTGAGAAAACAAACCATCAAGTGAGTGACATCACACGACAGGCCATCGGTCGAGTGGAACCCGAATGGGAAGTGGCGAGTTGGTCGTTAGTGCGAGGGTGACATGAAGGAGGTCATGTGAAGAGGAGATGAAAGCATGTGTGTAGACGTGGAGCCAGATGAAAACGTTGGCGGAGAACCGAACGCAATGGAGACGTGCGTCCGAAGCCTTATGCTTCTCTAGGAGCTAAAGGAAACCATAATAAAATAATAATAATCGTGTCGTACTCTGACTATCCTCTTTATACACGACCCTCCACTTGCATCTCATCAGATAGGAAAAGAAGCAAGTATAGAGACTTGATGCTTGAACGACTAAGTAAAGACCTCTGCAATACTTTATTTGAAATGCATTCTATGTGATGAGAAAAGTGTTAGACATGCTACTACCGGCCTTTTCTACTCCTTCTTGCATATATATATATATATAGTTGTCTCTATTTCTACTCAATTATTAGCTAATATTTGTATTCTTTTGAAATAACCAACATTGTAAGTGCCTTTCTAGATACTTCTTCCACTCTGTGTAGTGTAAAGAGAAGGAAAGATGCCACATTGTCGTGAATGCTGTAAATCCCACCTTGTATCAAAAGTACTAATGCTAAATAAAGCCACCATTATTATTATTATTAAATCGACTTATTAGGATTAAGAAAACTTAGTCTGCTAAAAATTATAAGAGCACTAAAAGTTATTTTCAAACAACATAAATATACAAGTATATAATTTCGTGAATCTTTAATTTTATGAAATTCTTTTCTTATCATTTCAACTTTTTCACCTTAAAAAAATTGTAGGCGTCATGGTGGACGAACAGGTTATCCAAGACATGCTGGTGATCTGGGAAATATTCCAGTGGATCGAAATGGAGTCATGCATTTCAACCTTTATGTCACTTTAAAGGGATTAGGACCATTTAATGGATTTATTGGACGAGCTCTTGTTGTACACGAAAATACTGATGATCTTGGCATATTTCCAGATGAAGGAAGTAGAACAACAGGAAATTCAGGTGGTAGATTAGCATGTGCTACAATTGGATATCGTGCTCCATAAAATCAGTTTCAATAATTTTGTATTTTGAATAATTTTCTTGAAACACATAATATAAATATATATGTCCTACTGATATGCTTCACTTTTATTTTGTGTGTATGATGGAATCTCTAATTTTTTTGTTTTGTTTCAAGACGTGTCATGATTCCTCAAAACGTCCATGAAGGTAGGTGCGATAGTAGAGGAAAAATAGTAGAAGTGACCTGATTTATATGAATTCTGAAAAATGATAATTTTTAATTGACATCTGATTACACAAGTAATAAATAGTTTAGTTCGATGTTTTAGAATAGTATTCAGTTGGCTCATCAATATCTAAGCATTTATTCGTTGAGTGTTGTTGAAAAATAATCCTCCAACGAATCAAACAAAATCCCTACAAAACCAATACTTGAAAATTGTTCTAATGCTCACTAGTGACTGGCTCTATTCAGGTAGTTAGTTACCTTGGGTTCTAGTGGGAAGTTGTGACCAGTAGGGTACAGCAAGTTGAAGGTGAGGCAGTAACTCATCGAAGAAGGCATTGCGAAGTGATCGCGCTATGTCATGAACTGTCAGAAGTTAGAATCCATGCACTGGCCATTGGATTGGCGGGTCCCAGTGGCTTAGTGGTCTACGAGCTCGCTAGCCTTGTAACCAGAAGGTCCCGGGTTTGAACCCCGGTGGTGGGTGCGTGCTACTGAAGAGTCTTTAACTAGGACAGAACAGCTGTCCAGTACTCCCTGCAGGTTCTCCAATGGTTCTCTAACCGATGTCAGCTCATGATGAAATCCTCCAACTAATCGGTAAAAATTGCATCCCATGCTACAGCGTAGGATGTAATGCCGTTTTTTAAGTCAAACATACTAAGAAGTTATGTGTGATTTGCCTAACACTTGTTAAAAATGATTTTTAATGTCATAGAAGACAACTGATTAGATTTGTGGTCATGATAAACATACAGATCAACTTGATTGGTTACAGATTTCATCATGAGCTGACATCATTTAAGGAAACACTGGATAACCAGCAAGGAGTACTGGACAGCTGTTTTGTCCTTGTTTGAAACTCCTCCACAGTACGCATCCACCGAGGTCTGAAGCCAGGACCTTCCGGTTACATGGAAAACTCGTAGGCCTAATTTAACAGACCATGAATTCAAACTTTAGCCCATTTGTGATGTATAGCACAATCGTCAGTCAATGTTACCGGCAAGTAATCTGACCTGGTGGACACGGCTGACTACAACTTCTCAATGGAACTCCAGGTAACTTCATGTATAGAACCAGTCGCCTGTGAGGCTTGATCACGATGGCTGAGTAACGCTGAAGAGTCCTAAACTAATACGAGATAGCTTTCCATTACTCTGTGGTCTACCAGTATTACTCTTACTAATGTCAGCTCTTGATGAAAACAAAGAAAACAAAAGTTAACAAAATTTCAGTCTCTAAAACGGAACAGTCGCTAAGATATATGGTATAAGACACTTATTTCCTCGTATGTTCATCCAGCATAACTCTAGGAGTTCCAATTTTCATCTCGTTTTTGACGGCCACCTGACTACTCTAAAATAATATGAGTATTGAGTGCAGAAATTTTAATAAAAGAAATCTTATTTTAACGTCGATGATAACTGTATATTGAGTAAGCGACTGAATAATTTTAAACTTAGTCGCCTATGTTGCATGAACGATGTCTCCAGGATTATTTTACTAATTGAATCCCTACATTCTAAGTGTTATATAACTAACGGTAAACGGTAGAAACTGAGTAACTAGAAAATAAAATCCTGAAACAATTTAAAATGTAAATCATTTAGGGAGAAATAATGGCGACCGACTTTAGGTACTAATTTGTTTAACTACTACCAACTATTCATTAAAAGTTAATAAGATTTCACAAACATAATTACTAATAGTTGACTTGCCATCATCAACAGAGACGAAGAATGAAAATGTCAGAAAAGTTGAGCCTTCTTGCAAGTACTTTCTACAGGATAAAAAAATATATCAAAGAAGTGTTGTACAGAGTTAATTAAATGTTCTAAAATATTTCATCATTCTCAGCTTATGAAGAATCAGTGGGCAGTCACCAGGCTAAATCAATTCAACTTTTTAAGAGAATGACCAATCATCACTAAACCATGACTGGAAAACACGAAGAAAACTAAAACAGTATCAAATAGCACTGTTTACTCGAACTTAGAACGAAAGTGCCACTAGAGGATATAATGCTGGGAGTGTAGCTATACCTGACTTCCACAGTATTTAAATTCCAGGGAAAAATATACAAACAGACTGAGAGAGTTGCCATGGGGTCAACAATATCCCCGGTTGTAGCAGATTTATTCATGGATAGGTGGGGAAACATAGCAATTAAAACGTTCGCCCCAACCCTAAAAGTGGAGGTGTGTATATGAAACATTCACTGTGCTTAGAACACACGATATAGGTAGATTTTCCGAACACATTAACTCAAAGATGGAGGCAATTCAATTCCCTTATGAATTGGAAAGTCAGGAACTCAGGGAGCTTCCAATGTTAGATTGTAGAGTAAAAAGGAGAGAAGATGGAAAGCTACACACTAGTGTTTACAGGAAGCACACACATTCAAACCAATATTTGGATTTCCGATCATCCCATGCTGTGTCAGTGAAAATAGGATTGTTGAAATGTTTAAGTAGTAGGGCACAAAACTTAGTAGTACGAAGGAAAATGTGGAACAGGAAGTGAGGCATATAAGAGAAGTTGTGAAACTTAATAATTACCCTGAAAAACTAACCAGGAAATATGTGAGGAAATGTAAAAATGAAATTAATAATAATAATGATAATGGTAGTGATAGTGATGATAATAATAATACTAGCACTAATGACGACATGCAGGTCACACATGTGCAGGATAATGACAACATCAACAATAGGGAGTATAATTCTTCAGTGGTACTTCCATACAAAGAACGAAGCTTGAAAACCAACTTACAGAGAGTCCTTACCAACGCAGGACTGAAAGTGGCTGGCATTCAAACCCACAAACTTAATTAGAAATCAACTTTGTCGGTTGAAGGATCCTGTGGAACCTTTAAAACAAAATTAAGTTTATCTAATACACTGTCTGAACTGGTTGTCAGGTCCAATACATAGGTGAAAGTAGTAGAATGGTGCCAGTCAAACTTGTGGAGCACAAGAACCTAGCAAAATCCAGATTAGTTGACCCGAATAAGGTAAGAAATCTGGAGAATAGATCAGCTAAAGTACTACACAACATGCAATTACACACAACACAGTCATACAACTGGATGTGATAAGATGACGGTTTTCAAATCTAATGTAACAACAGGCTGGAGGGAGATATTGATGACAGCGAAAGCTTTGTTTATTGAATCAACATGCGATAGGAATGATTCAACACCTATCCCAGATATCTGGATAATTCTACTACCCCAACGACGACAAATAGGAGAGAAAAAAGAAAACTATGAAACTCAAGTTTCGAAGTCATGAGATTATAATTGATGATATGATTATGAACAATGATAAATTGTGTTTGAAACTTTGTCATCCAGTTAACAATGATTCTGTTTCCCCTCTGTGTGACATATCTAATAAACAAACTAATTTGGAAATACTTACTACCACAGTGCCCAAGTTTTACATATATACTGACTGGGACGTTAACATTCCGAACACATCTTCAGAAACATCTCTTTTGCTGCCATGAAGATGTACTATATACATATATTTATAAGCGTGGTAGTCATTTCCAGTACTCGTATAATGATTCTTGTCAAAGATTGTTTTCTTTTGTTTACACACCAATCTGTTCATATCTCCTTACTAAGTTCGTAGTGTTCTGAGCGCTGATCACTTCAGATCTCAAAGCATTTCTGACATAGCTATCAACTTAAAAGATTAATCGTTATGCTGTAAGAATCACTTATTATGCAATGATACCTGTAATATTAGTGGACAGATATGATCCTTTAACGCATAGCTGTTGATCCCTTAAATGTTTTGCACGAAACTATATACTACTGATTGATTAAGATGAGTAGTTATGCACTACTCATATCAACAAATAATGGTTATCAAGAAGATATAGATGATCTAAACACCGTGTGACCGTATTACACCAATCTCATCATCGGTGTACCCATTTTGACTCAGCACAGAGACCTGAATCATTTGAAACCACCTGATTGAGCTGGTGTTACCATAAATCAAATTCACTATTTGCAAATAAGTTGACAGTTTGAAAAAAATTATGAACCTGCTTAATATTGTTTCGGACATTATTTAATTATACGGAGAGACAAATTCTTTTTATATAACTTTTTGCTTAACAACATATATGTCGCGTGTCCGTTTCAGTTAGCTGTCTACATACTAGAGCATCTACTGTGTCAAAGAAGAATTCAACAAATTCATCTCGTTATCATTCTTACTTTGTGTTACTTAAAGTTAGTTTTTATTGAAGTTCTCTAGAATTGGCTGTTTTATACTTTTCCTTTAAGATATGTCATATCATACGAATGAATTGATTTCGGTAAACTTCCCAAACAAATGTAAATCAAAATATCAGTATACGGATATATTTTGTCAGTTATGTCATAAACAACTCTATTCAGTCAGTTCCCCGGATAAATTCGAATTACACAATAACAACAACATCTTTGCAGGAAAAGATGAATTCAAATTATTTCATTGAGTTTTCTTTAACTGAATCATAAAAAAAATAAGGCATCAACGTGACACATTCAAACTGAATAGCCAGTTCATTTTAGAAGAGTAGAATAACATGCCAAAAATGGAGACGTAATATAATTTTTACAGGAAGTTAGAATAGTCAGTTATGACCAAAACAGAGACATAATATATATATATATATATATTGTAAAGAGGAGAATGTTCTAAGAGTTACTGATTTGCACAATTATGTGAAGGATTATTCAAGCAAAATAATGAGGACAAAGATCTCAAAGGTATTAATAAAACTGTAACAGTAGAAGGCAAGACACGGAAG